CCCCAAATCATCATTGGAAAAACCCTGGTATACTGATGGATTTGGTGTGAATTTCCAAACCAGGACAGAATAGTTTTCTTTCAYTGAAAAAAGACATTGGAGATGTCCAAATCTGCACATGAGGAGCTATGGGAAACCCCTGGGTGTGAGCATCGAGGCCCTTGCACAGGTGCTCTGTGCTCTGAGCTTTGCTCTTTGTCTGGAGCAGGGCTCTGTGGGGTAACCCTGTAACACCCTGTGATTGCAGCATGGCCTTGCATCTCTGTGACCCCTGGGAACCCCACACCAGCTCTCTGCTCCCAGCAGGAGCTGCCAGCAGATAGGTTTATGGAAGGAGATTTGGCAGCTGGTAACCGAGCAGCTGTATTTGTTGTTTCTGTCTGCCAGAACACAAAGCAGAATTAATTTAAGCTGCTGTACAGGTTAGTACAACTTTTGAAGTGAGAGGTACTGTATAAATATATTCCCACCAACATCCTAGGTAACATTTTAGCACAAAGTTTTGTCTGATCTTATTAATTTTACTTAAGCACCACTGCTTTTAATACTGTGGTCAAATGAGKATGAATCTGTGCTGCTGTAATTACATGACAGTTTAAAAAATCTGGAAAACTGTCCAGGCATGGTAGGAGGATAAACCCCATTGTTAGACCCCTAACGATTCCCCTTTGGCTTTGATTTCCTCCTCTGTGACTTTGTGAATACATTTGGCAGCGGCTGGAGTTCAAGTTACAGCCACACAGAGTAAAACTGAATGTCATTGAAGATGTGCTCTGGAAGGAGGATGCAAACCCACTGTACATAATGACATGGGCTAGTTTGAGGATTATTTCTTCCTAAATGGCCCGATGCAAGTGATAACTCTTCTGGACTGCGGCAAAGAGGACACAGTGTCCATGGAAGTTCTGCAGCATTTCCACATTTCCCTTAACCTTATAAATACCGKTTTTTTCTGGGCTGTTAGCAGGATGTCAGGCTGGGAATGTTTTCCCAGCCTCTGCAGGSATGCAGACATGCTGTGGAACGAGCAGGGAAGCTGGTGCACACTGAACAGGAGAGGGCACTGGCACTCCAGCAGCTGTGCTGGGCTCAGAACCAGAGCGCTGCTGAAGGATGGATTATTACTGCAGCTCGACACACGGTCTCATCATCYTCTGCTCTTAATGTGAGAAAAGAGTCTATGAAAAGAGTGAATGAGCTGCATTTATTGTCTGTGTCTCTCTGGAGAAAGGAAAATCCACTTGCACCAGGTGGGAACCTGCCTCTTTCCTTTGAACTTCATCTGCTGGTGTCTGGTGCAGCTCCTGTGAATGTCTCTTTGCAAAACTCTGCTTTAGTGTCCTTTTTCTGCACCTACATTAGGTATTCAGTACACAAACTAAGGTGACATYCCTGTTGACCGAGGCAAGCTCAGGTTGTGCGTTCTCTGCTGCAGTTGTGGAAGCGTGCAGCCCTTCACCCCAAGGACCTGCATGCCTCTCTTGCTGCCCCTTCTCTCAGCCATCAGACACTCTGAAAGGCTGAATTTCTGTCCTGCCTCAGAGCATTAACAAACACGTGCTGGGGAGTAGTGTGCAAGTGGCCCCTAACCAGTGGGTGAGGAGCTCTGTGTCAGGCTCTGTCCCTCTGGCCACCATGCCACCATCTCAGATGGTGATGCTCATGAAGGGCTCCATGCTCTCCATGCTCTCACTCAAAATACTGGACACAGA